GAGGAGGAGAAGGCGGAGGAGGAGAAGAAGGAGGACCCCGTGGCACTGACCATCCCGTCGTTTGGGCTCAAGTAGTATCGCGGCGCCATCCGCCAGCACCTTCGCAAGACTCGCTGAACTTTATATTGTCACGGACATGACAGAACGCTATTCTCATCAGCGTCATTCTGGAACACTGGCATGCACGGTAGCGGAGCGATGCCATGGCAGCACCCACGCAGGGAATACATGTTATACGTCACGGGTGGTTCGGATACAATCTGGCGATCGTTGGAGTCAACTGCATGTCTGCAGATCGGCAAGAGGACTCTAAGTTCACCAATATGTGTCTCCAAGCTAAGCGCGAAGGGGCTGTCAACTACATTTGTGAGCAATAGCAAACAGGTAACAGGGATATGTGCGGCGGGTACGCTTTTATATGAAATGTTTAGCACATCAAAGTATCACTGCTGAACACCGTAAATCGCGAGCTCACATAATAGAAGCGGTCAACGCCAAGCAAATAACTGCACAATCGGATTGCGCAGTTACACAACAATTAAATGTTGAATACCTGCTTACGAGCCTCACAAACCAAGCCAGGAAAGAGCGCTTCGTGGGGGACACGAAGAAAAAGTGGGGACCCCAGGTTCAAGCACCCCCCCTCATTCCACAAATGGGGAGGGGGGCTTCCGAAGCTGCCCTCCCTCCATTGTTTGTGATGTTGGGAATCTGGGAGGTGTCCTTGTCGACGCCAGGGTAAGCCGGGGCTGCCCTATGCAAAGGGTGGGGGGCTTCGGAAGCTACGCCTCCTCGTCCTCGTCCTCTTCCTCTCGTCCTCCTCGTCCTCCTCCTCCTCCTCCTCCTCCTGCTCCTCTTCCTCCTCCTCGTCCTCCTCCTCCTTCTCTTCCTCCTCCTCCTCCTCCTCCTCCTCCTCCTCCTCCTCCCCGTCCTCCTTCTGCTCCTCCTGCTCCTCCTGCTCCTTCTCCTCCTCCTCCTCCTCCTCCTCCTCCTCCTCCTCCTCCTCCTCCTCCTCCTCCTCCTGCTGAGGGGGAGGGCCTTTGGAAGCAACCCCCCCTGTAGGCTTCCAGGGCAAGCCGAGGCTTACCTTTCGAAGGTTGGGGGGCTTCAGGAGCTACCCCCCTCCCCCCTCCCTTTGCGAAGCCGGGGGCTGCCAGTCAAAGGAGGAGTGCTTCCGAAGCTCCCCCCCTCCCCCCCTGTGCGAATCTGCGCGAACTCTCGTCGTCGTCGTCGTCATCGTTGTCGTCGTTGGCTTCGGCGTCGACGTCGGCGTCGGCGTCGGCGTTGACGTCGGCGTCGGCGTCGGCGTCGGCGTCGGCGTTGTCGTCGGCGTCGGAGTCGTCGTTGTCGTCGTCATCGCTGCCGTCGTCATCGTCGACATCGTCGTCCTCGTCGTCGTCGTCGTCGTCGTCGTCGTCGTCGTCGTCGTCGTCTCGTCTCGTCTCGTCTCGTCTCGTCTCGTCTCGTCTCGTCTCGTCTCGTCTCGTCTCGTCTCGTCTCGTCTCGTCTCGTCTCGTCTCGTCTCGTCTCGTCTCGTCTCGTTCGTCTCGTCGTCGTCGTCGTCGTCGTCGTCTCGGCGTCGTCGCCGCTGGGGGGGGGGGCTTCCGACTGGGGAGATGCAAAGTGGAAGCTTGCAGGGGTCGAACGGGAAAGGGGGTGAGGGGGGGGGGGGGGGGGCTTCTGGCAGAGGTGCCAAAAGGGAGGGGGGGGCGCAGTTTCGGGAGCTCGGAAAGAGGGGAGGGGGGGGGGGCTTCTGGCTGGGGAGGTCCAAGGAGGAGGGGGAGCTTGCAGAGGCTGCGAGGGGAAGGGGGGAAGAGGGGGGGTCGTCCGGCGGGGGGGGCTCAAGGAGGGGGGGGGCAGCTTCCGTGGGGGGAACAACAAGGGGGAGAAGGGGGGGCCTTCCATTTGAGGAGGTGAAAGGCAAGGGAGGAGTAGGTTTGCAGGGGTCGCAAGAGGAAGGGGGGGAGGGGGGAGGGCGCTCCCGGCAGGGTTGCCAAAGGGAGGGGAGGGGTAGCTTCCGGAGCGCGAGGAAAGGGGGGAGGGGCGGGGCCTCCGACAGGGGAGGTCGAATGGGGGGCGGTGGGAGCTAGGGGGGGACCCCCCCTCCGGCGCTGTCTCCCGCGGCGCGCTCTCTCAAAGCAAGCCCAGGCAGAAACCGAGGCAGCCAACGTGACATCAGCGAGCCAACAGGAATCCAATCACTGAAGAACTTCGTCAAGAACTTCGCTAGTGAAATAGGCTTTGCAAATGAAAGAAACGACAGGCTGTTCAATGCGTTCGCGCAGGTAAGCAATCGAAATTGTACAGTGCTGAATACATTGAACGCGAAAGTTGAAAGTCATGGACAGGCCAGTGCCAGACCCGAGTGAGGAAAGTCATGAAATAAGAATGGTCGATGCAAAGCACACTGCGGCTGCGTTATAGAGACAAGGTGGCCGTAATTATAAGATGACAGAAATTAAAGGCCACACCCTAGAAGAGGATGGTGACAACAAGATAATCGAATATCTAGTGTACACATGGACAGAAAGTTGGGGAGGACACCCGCGGGGAGCTGCATTTGTTACAGTCAGGGAGAAGAGTTCACAGCCCACAAGAGAATATGCAACTTGTATTCGGCAGTCACTTGAGTAGCGCTGTCGGCACAATTGATTTTGGCAAGGAACCCCGGATGATCTAGGAAAGTGAGTGACGTCTCGTCACAGCGTGATGAGCAGCGGGGTGCCCCCGTCGAGAAGCCACAGGAGTGCGGGCCATCATGCGCTCTGACGTTCAGAATCGCCGCCGTCAGGACAATCGCGACCCGTGCCATGCCAGCGAGTGGGGTTTGACGACTGGGAGCAGGACTGCTTCAAGACGCCGGGGTCACTGACCGCCCTGTCTCATCGTGCGTTGCACCTCGCGGCGGACATCGGTGGCGCGGGCCAAACGGGCGACCAGTCAAACATTGGATCACGAGATGGGTTCGACGACGCAGCCGGGAGTTACGACGAAGAAAGATACCGGGGGCCAGTGGCCAGGTGAAAATGATGATGACCAGTGCTGAGGCGGAGGATATGGTTTCGATGGTGGTGCTATCAACGCTGTAGGCAAGGCCAAATTGGAAGGGAATATCTTTGTGACAAGCGCGGAAAGCACGGGCGCATGGCCAAAGATTGCAGAGAAGAAGGCATGGGCGACGGGCGCCACAGAGAAAATGGCACCCACTTTGGCAGAAGGGAGGAGGAACAGAAACAATTGTGCGGATTATCAAGGTCCGCCGAGGCCAGCTCAGCCGGGATGTGCCGAAGGCGGGGGCAAGGGCTGCGCGCCCGCGAGCGAAAGAGATTGTTGCGCGAGTGGGCAGAGAGGTCGCCAAGCAGCCAGTTGCCCAAAGAACGCCAGTGAGGCAGGCGGGGGGCAGCATGGAGATGCCCCCCCCCCCCCTTCGCGTACCGGGCCAGCCACAGCCAGGCACGGATCCAGAGCATTCTGCTGTTGCCTTGGGCCTTCGGCACGGAGGGGGCACACTTTACCGACTCGTGACTCAGTGGTGCAGGGTATCTGGGTCTCCCGGTGGCGGGCAGGCCAGCAGCGGTGTCTCTGATGGAGGGCGGAGGAGCATACAAGTGGTAAGCTCCTCCGAGGCGGACACGTGGTGGGTGGCGCCTCCCGCGGGTACGGATTGCAACAAAAAGCCAGAGGAAGGACCTCGGGGGGGGGGGCGTTGCGCTGCCTCTGAGGAGCGCTCGCCGGCGCCCTGCGAGCGAGACGCACCGCACCCCCCGAGGTCGTGGGGTCGAGCCGGTGGGCCCGACACCCGGACGGCAGTCGGGGTGGTCAAGAGCGGCGAGACATCCCAGAGATCCAACGTATTGAAAAAATCAAGACGGAGGTTTTTCAAAATTTTCGGCCTCAAGGGGCCCTCGCCGGGCCCCGGGACCGTCAAAAAACGACTCAGGATGAAAAACTGGTCCCGGGGAACGGGTCGAGACCTCCGGGGGCCCCGTATTGAAAAAATCACGACGTTGGATCTCTGGGATGGGCAGACGGGTGCAGGGGCGCGCTGCTGGCCGAGGTGAAGGGCAGGGCATGCGCGGCAAACGCGGTGCCACCAGTGCGGATGCAGCTCCTGGGAGGTCAGACTCTGATTCAGCCCTGGTCCGAAATCCCGCGGAATCCGGCTTAGTCCCGCTTCATACCGCTGAATCCGGCTCAATCCCGCTGGATCCGAGGCCCACTCTGGCGTGACAGCCCCCGGATGGGGCTTCATCTCCGGCGCAGCCCCTGGCGCGCTCCGTGCGCCGGGGAGGGGGGTGGTCCAGGGTTGATCCAACAGATCCGCGCGTCCTCCTTCTCCTCCTCCTTAGTCTCCTCCTCCTCCTCCTCCTCCTCCTCCTCCTCCTCCTCCTCCTCCTCCTCCTCCTCCTTAATCCTGCCGACGAAACCTCCCAGTAGTTGCCCCCCACCACAAGATGGCCCGACATCCAGCGCTGAGGCAGCCGCGGCAACCGCGGCCCGGGGGGTCACCGCGGCGCCGCGGGGCCGCCCCCGGCGCGGGCGCGCGCTTTTGCCCCCGCGAGGGCGACGGAGGCCCCCGGCGGAGGGCGCCGCTGCCCTGCGGCTGGCGGCCAGAGGGCGCTACAGTTAAGTCGGGCCTGTCCCTCTACAGGGGGGATATTCAGAAATAGTGAAGAAATAGTCTGGGGACGATTTGTTGCGTATTTTTTTCTTCCATTTCGGGGTATGTTTGGGGTATTTTTACTTTTGCGTCCGAAGTCCCCCTGTAGGGGGACAGGCCCGACTTAACGCTACAGCGAATAGGCCGACTCAGGTGAGAGAGCGTTGAGATCGGCTCGAGAGGCGGCGGGGGCAGGTGGCAGAGTCGCGCGCGACCGAGATGGCCCTCCTGTTGCTGCGCGTGCTCTTCCTCCTGCTCTTCTTCCCTCCCTCCTCCCTCGGCCCTTCCTCTTTCGTCCTGTCCTTTCCTCGCACTGGCCGACCTCTTGAGCGAGGGGGAGGCCCGCGATCACTGGCTACTTCCCCCAGCGGCCAGAGGTCGAAGGCGCCTGGCGGGGGGGCGGGGGGCGCTGCTGGGCGGAGGGTGGTGGGGGCGCTGCGGGCCCCGGGCAGGAGGAACAGCATCGGGATGGGGAGGAGGGAGGGGGAGCAGGAGCGAGAGGAGAAGGCATCAGGCGATCGCAGATATGCATTAAGGGGGCGTGGATTAGCGACGGGTCCCGTTTCCATGGGAAATCGCGGATTTCCGCCGCCGAGCGAGGCGGCACCGGCCGCATCTTGGGGAGGGCACCTCCCAGGATCCATGGATTCGGCGACCGCGCGCAAAATCCATGGATCGTTAATCCATGTTTGCGAGCCCCCGAAGGCAGATGAGGAGGAACAGGAGGAGCAAGCGCAGGATTGAGCACGACGACGATGAGACGAAGAGGTCAAGATTCCTCTCCTGTGCAGCCCGGCGCTGACTGTGCGATGGTGGGGCATCGTCTTCCTTACGGGTTCAGCGATGCGTTCGGCGCGTCAGCAGCGTAAGGCGGAGCTCGTGTTGTCAGCCACATATTCTGAGCGGGAAACTCCGCTTCCATCTGATGTCATGCGTTTCTGTGGCTCCTCGTACGTGTAGCAACCGAGAGACTTGGACAGACCAAGTCTGAGCGGTGCCAGCACAGTATGCTTAAAAGTGCAGACAGATCCCAAACAATCGGAGCAATGGTGTATCTTCGCCCTCCGAGGACTTGTTATTCGACGCAGAGGTTCTATACTTGGACGCATTGACTGGGCTTACCGCTACGAGAGTCTGAGTATGAGCAAGGCTTAGGTCGAGTGAGTAGGTTAGGAGCGAGTGTTGTGAATGGGTGTGACTGGGTTTGGGTCTGAGTACGAGTGAGTCTGAGTGTGATTCAGTTTGATCATGAGCGAGCTTGAGTACGAGCAAATGTGCATCATGTGGTATAAGTTTGAGGGATTCTGGTTATCAGTGCTGATTACGTGTGAGTGGCTGATAATGGGTGGGTTTAGGTGCGAGTGACCCTGAGCACGAATTAGTCTGAACACGACCGAGTCTGACTATGAGTACAGGTGAGTTTCATTGAGACTGGGTGTGGGTGAGTCTGAACTTGAATGAACGGGTGTAGGGAAGTTTGAGTATGATGCGGTCTGAGTTCTCTTGGACCTTGCTATGAGTGGGTATGGGTGTGAGTGGCTGTAAGTATGAGTGTGTCTGATACTGAGTGATTGGTGAGTGACCTGATTCTCAGAACGAGTGAGCCTGGGAATGAGTGTCTGTGAGTCTGACTGACTCCTGTTTGAGTGGGTGAGTATGGATGGTATGGAGGAGGAGGAGGAAGAGATGGAGGAGGAAGAGGAGCGTGTCGTGAGGTTGGGTCACCCTCTCCTTCTCGGAGCCCGTCTTCAAGCCAGGCGGCGCTCCAGGCTCCGCGATGAGCGTCGGCATGACTCCGGGAGCACAAAGAGACAAAGAGGGGGAGCTGGAATGCAGTAAGAAGGTTGATGAGGCTGGGGAGAAGGAGAAGGAGCGGCGAGTCACAGCAGTACCAGCGGGAAGAGGACCTGAGATATCAGAGCTTGAGCCTCAGTCTGCCACACACGATTACACGTCAGTTGTTTTCGGAATGCCTGGGGGGGCGATGGCTTTCGATGGTCTCATTCCACATATCATGGCTCCTCGATTCCTAAGCCTTTGTATCTGTCCTGTTATGATTAAACGTAAGAGTGAGTACAATCCTCGTGAGCGTTGATCCTTGCATATTTGGCATTGCGTTCTTGCGCGTCTGTAACTTCTTGCAACCCGTGCATTCTTGCCTCAGGCACCAGGGTGTTTGCTTGCTTGCGTCCTTGCTATTCGCGTACCCCTGCTACCCTTGCATCCTGGGTTGAATCCTTCCTCCCGTGCACCATTGCCTACCTCAAACCGTTTGCATCCTACGATGCGCACGACCTCCCTCCCGCGGCATGTTGTCGATTTCGGCGGCGCAGCCCGCATGCGCTAGGGCATGCAGCGCATCGCCTGGTATCCTGATTGGCAGTGCAGCGCGAAGCACTAACGAAAGGCCCGCCGGCGGGCCCGGCTCCCCTCTATCCCCCCCTCCTTCTCCCGCTCCTGCCTGTCCGCACCCATATTCTCGCAGAGGCGCTCCATCGTTCGCAGCCCTCTGTATAGGGCTGCCGCTCGGATTCGCTTCCAGCGCGCTGAACCTGAGCCTTAGCCTTCTCCTCTACGCCCGCCGGTCCTTCTTCTCATGATCCCGCTGCCTTCCTGCTTTTTTCATTCTACTCCCGCTGGGACGTTCTACCCCAGGGCCTCCCACAGCCTGCGCGCGGTCATCCCCCCCCCCGTCCAGCAGGCGACGCGGCGGTCCAGGCGACTCTGGGCAGGCTCTCGATGGACTGGAGCGGGGCCAACACGGGCCAGGTGATCTCCAGGGCGGAGGTGCAGGCCGAGATCTGGGAGGAGGCCGCCCGCCACCCGCGGGGGGGGGGGGGGAGACGAGGTCACGAGGTCAAGGCCACGGTCAAGCCTGGGCGCCCGAAGGCGGGCCCATGGAATGGCGCGCCTGCGACGAAGTGGCGTGCACGTCGGGAGGAGATGGCGTCGGTGCCGATGCTGCCGCTTGACTCCGCGAGCCCCCCCTGTGGCCTTGGGCGCGTGTGTCTCGGCGGGCGGCTCGTGCACGTGGCTCCGCCTCCGTGCCCGCCGGTGAGGTGCCCCGCGTCGGATCACCAGTTTCAAACGAAAACGGGCGCGGGTGGAAGGGGCAGGGAAGGAGGGGGAGGGATGAAGGGGGGAAGGATGCCTGGCAAGCGGTGCCAATAATGATGCCGGGGACGTCTTTGTCTTCCAGCACGAGAGAAAATTGCGATTGCCACTTCATTCTCGTCGTTGACGACAACGGTTGTTGCATCGTAGATCTGGCAGCGGATGGACTGGAGAGAGTATGAGATCGGGGGTGATCAATCACTGACCCGTTTACCTGTGAGCAATGTTGTTGAGCCAGAGTGCGCGGCTAGGATGACCAATGGCCTCGCTCCCCCAAAAGCGTCGCATTTTGAGTATGGCCGCAGAGAGGGCGAACGGACGATGCGATGGGGTGGCAGTGGGGCGCGATTTGCTGCTATCTGCTTTGAAGCAGCACGCTCCCGACCCACAGACCGACGTTTTGCCTCTCGGCTTGTCGCAAATCGAAGGTGGAGGAGGACTGAGGGGCTGATGGGGGAGTAGGAGGGGGAGGGGCGGAGGAGGAGGCAAGAGGAAGAGGAGGAGGTGGAGGAGGAGGAGGAGGAGTAGGACAGGGCGGAGGATGAGGAGAAGGAGGAGGAGGAGGAGGAGGAGGAGGAGGCGAAGGACAAGCAAGAGAAGGAAAAGGCGGAAGCGGAGGGCTGAGGAGGAGGAGGAGAAGGAGGAGGGGAGGACCCGCAGCAGAATGATAGTGATGATATGGAGCAGGGACTTGAGGAGGAGGAGGAGGAGGAGGAGGAGGAGGGGAAGAAGGACATGTGGAGGAGGGTGGCAACGAGGACGACGGTCATGGCGATATCGACGAGCCGCTTCCGCGCGCCACAGTTGTCAGGCCAAGCTCAGGGTGCTGCTGGGGGGCCTCGTGCAGCCCGAGTTCTGGTGCGCTGATGATGATGGTGACGATGAACATGATCATGACCATGGTCATGATAGTGCTGGTGCTGATGATGATGACGACGACGACAATGATGGTGGAGATGATGATTATGATGCTGGTGATGGTGCTGATGCTGCTGCTGCTGATGATGATGATGATGATGGTGGTGGTGATGGTGATGGTGATGATGATTATGATAAGTATGATGATGACGATGATGAGGCTGGTGATGATTATGATGATGATGATGCTGCTGATGATGCTGATGCTGATGCTGATGCTGATGCAGATGATGCTTACGGTGATGTGGTGATGTGAATAAATATGGGGATGTTGATGCTGATGCTGATGCTGATGCTGATGCTGATGATGATGCTGATGCTGCTGATGATGATGATGCTTATGCTGTTAGTGATCCTGATTATGATTATGATGTTGCTGCTGTTGCTGATGATGCTGACGATGCTGATGCTGATGCTTATGATGATGGTGATGAGAATGCTGCTGATGATGATGAGGATAAGTATGAGGATGAGGATGAGGCTGGTGACAATGATGATGATGATGATGATGATGATGATGATGATGATGATGATTATGATGATGATGATGATGATGATGCTGATGCTGATGCTGATGCTGATGCTGATGATGATGATGGTGGTGATGATGATGGGTGATGGTGATGAAACTGATACTGCTGATGCGGATGCTGATGCTGTTGCTGCGGCTGCTGCTGTGGCTGCTGATGGTGATGATGAGGATGAGGATGAGGATGGTGATGGTGGTGGTGATGGTGGTGGTGATGGTGGTGGTGATGGTGATGAGGATGCTGCTGCTGATGCTGATGCTGATGCTGATGATGAAGAAGATGCTGCTGCTGATGCTGATGCTGATGATGATGCTGATGCTGATGATGGAGAAGAAGATGATGATGACGATGACGATGACGATGACGATGACGATGATGATGATGATGATGATGATGATGATGATGATGATGATGATGATGACGATGACGATGACGATGACGATGATGATGATGATGATGATGATGAGGATAAGGATGAGGATGAGGATGAGGATGATGATGATGATGATGATGATGATGATGAGGATGATGAGGATGATGAGGATGATGAGGAGGATGATGAGGATGATGAGGATGATGAGGATGATGAGGACGGTGATGGTGATGGTGATGGTGTTGGTGTTGGTGATGGTAAGGGTGCGGGTGATGGTGACGATGCTGTGGCGGTTGAAGGTGGGGCGGAGCAGGAGTGCTGGTGCTGAGCAGGATCGGTGCGGGCTGGAGGATGCACAGGGCAGTTCCCCAAACATTGCCTGCATCGACGGATCCTCCTTCTCTGCCACAGGGACGTGACGGGCCAGCCGCCCGCCCCGTGAGCGCCTCGTGGGCGCCTCGCGCGCCGCGTGGGGCGGCCGAGGCTTCGCTCGGCGCCCGCCCGCGGGCGCCTCGTGGGCGCCTCGTGCGCCGAGCGGTTCGACCGGGTGCGTTTCGCCCGGTGCCCGCGCCGTGGGCGCCTCGTGGGCGGCTCGTGCGCGGGGCGGGTCCGTGGAGGTTTCGGCTGGTGCCCGCCCCCCAGGGGCGCCCTTGAGCGCCTCGTGGGCGGCTCGTGCGCTGGGCGGGTCAGTGGGGGTTTCGGCTGGTGCCCCAGGGGCGCCCTTGAGCGCCTCGTGGGCGGCTCGTGCGCTGGGCGGGTCAGTGGGGGTTTCGGCTGGTGCCCGCCCGTGGGCGCCTCGTGGGCGCCTCGTGCGCTGGGGGGGCCGGCCACGGCACGGCTTGTCCGAGCTTGCACCACATAGATTCCACCACCCAGCTTGCAGTAGATTGACGTTGCCACATGCACTGCACCACCTAGCTTGCACCGCACAGCTTGCACCGCATAGCTTGCATCACATAGGCGGGTTGCACCGCGTAGCTTGCGCGACGCATCATGCATCACCCAGCTTGCACTACGTAGCTTGCATCACACATCGGTCACATCGACGATACACTACAATACTGTCTGGGGTACACGTTGGCCAGCATGGTAGTAGCATCCGTGAAATTCGTTGGACAGTTTACGGAGGATTGAAGGATCAGTTCGACCATAGGTGGACCTATCCAGCAAAGGATGTCATCAGAGTTGACATATTTGTTTGCAGGCGCACTGGTTTCATGTGACATGTGACATATTGGTTCCGTGTGGCACGTGACATGTTGTCTAGGAGTGCTTGCCGGGATTCGTTTTCGATTTGCTATGGGGCAGAAGTGAGTGTTCCGATTGACCTGCCTTACGTAATATTTGGTTTGTGTTCATTGTCACCCCTCGCGGCAATCAGCTCCGCGCGAAACAAGACTGGAGGGCGTTCATTTCGGACGCCATGTCTGGGTCAAGTTTTGGGGCAGCTGATTCCTGGGGAACCCTCCCTGCTGGCGCACTCAATGTTTATATTATGTGCGGCATGGACTTGCGAAGTTACACGGCGTCATGTGTTTGGGTGCACTAATGTCGTCAAGGGTTGTTGGTAACATGTCTGAAGGTTGTATGGGCCACAGTGCCTGCACGCGTCTTTTTTCAGCACCCTTCAGAGATGCAGCTACGTTGGTGTACCGTTGTTATGTGTTTTCTTGAGGAGTTGCGTCAACATTGTTTCACGGGTTGTTGTCTAGTCCCATTTTTCATCGCAGTATCCCTCTCCTAATGCGTTCACGTGCTAGGCATCGGAAGCAACCCACAGCTGGCCCACAGCTACGGGTGAAGTGAGCCAACCATACGGCAATTCGGCCGAAGTGTTATCGAAATTGGCCCCTTCTTAGATGGCAGCCTCGGCAAAATGCTGCGACGAAGCGACATCATAGCACCACGACATCTTCTAAACCGCGGCGGACCGCCCCGTCGACCACCAACGGGAGCCCCGTACAGAGTCGTTCCGGCAGCCCAGCGCCTGACCCGCTGTCGCGCGCAGCGTGGTGCCCACGGCATGCGCGACGACAAACACTTGAAGGAGGAAAAGGTACCCATACCGCTACCCTTCCTTCGTTTTCGTTTTTGGGGGCCGCCTGGGAGGCCCTCGTCGCCACCGCTGGATTCGCCTCGAAATCCTGGTCAGAACACATCCCCAGGGAGGTCCTGGGAGTAGCGATACCGGTACTTTTTGGTCTCCCCAAACACTGCGGTTTCGAAGATGGGGCGGCTTCGATAACTCGTTCTGCCAGCCAACCTCAAGTGATTCCGTGATTCCAGTGAGCGTGAGGACGACGATGATGGCGGCGATGGCAATGGGACGGGGGAAGGGCATTAGAAGGAGGAGGGGGAAAGGAAAATGGGGAAGCGAACGGGGGCGGAGGGTGTGAAGAGGAGGGGAAGGAGGAACTTGGGGGTGGGGAGGGGAAACACATTCCCGTAGGATTGCGGGGGTGGAAAAAGGGGGATGTGGAGGAGCCGGGTGCGAGGGAGAGGAGGAAGAGGATTGGGAGAGCAGCTTCCAGTTCAAACGGAGACATGACTCGAGATAGTTGTGCAGCCATGGCCGTGTAAAGACGAACGCCCGCTCTAGCAAGCCATCTCGACGACCATCGCCTCGCTTCTTACAGGTGGGCGGTTGCCTGGGCACCAGCACTACAGTAAGGAGGGATCGCTTAACAGGGGGGAGGGGAGGGGAGAAGGAGCAAAAGACAAGGAGGCAGAGGAGGCAGACGAGGAGGCAAACGGCGCGGAGAAGGAGGAGGGCGAACAAGCAGGAGAGGGAAAGGGTGGAGGCAGGGAGGGAGGAGGGAGGACGGAGGGAGAAGCGCGGGGAGGGGGGGAGGGAAGCGGAAGAGGAAGCATGGCAGACGCAGGAGGGCGAGGAGGACCCGCTGGGCGCAGAGGTACACCCTGTCCATACCCGCGGCGTCGCTCGAGGACACTGCCGGAAACCTCTTCGAGGGGCTCCTGGAGGGCGCCCTGAGCTTCCGGGTCGCGCCAGAGTTCGCGGCCCAGAGCGTGGGGCAGGACCGGTTTTGGGGGGATGGGTTCTGGGCCGCTCCTGCCTGGCCTGCTCGATCGCGAGCGCGCCCCGGAAGGAGGGGAGGGAGGATAATCAGAGGAGGAAAAGGTACCCATACCGCTGCCCTTCCCTCGTTTTCCCCGTGTTCGGCCTCCTGGGAGGCCCTCGTGGCCACCGCTGGATTCGCCGCTAAATCCTGGTCAGAACGCACTCCAAGAGAGGTCCGGGGGCTACGTAGCGGTATCGGTACCTTTGGTTTCCCCAAGCGCGCCCCGGAAGGAAGGGAGGAGGATCAGGAGCCAGAGAAGGAGGGCGAGATGGAGGAGAGAGGAGGAGTAGGGGCAGGAGCGTCAGGAAAAGGGGAAGCCAGAGAGAGAGAGAGAGAGACAGACACATACACAGACACACAGACACGCACACACACACAGACAGACACACACACACACACACACACACACACACGCACGCACGCACGCACGCACGCACGCACACACACACACACAACACACACACACACAACACACACACACAACACACACACACACGCACGCACGCACGCACGCACGCACGCACGCACGCACGCACGCACGCACGCACGCACGCACGCACGCACGCACGCACGCACGCACGCACGCACGCACGCACGCACGCACGCACGCACGCACGCACGCACGCACGCACACACGCACTCACTCACTCACTCACTCACTCACTCACTCACTCACTCACTCACCCACTCTCTCACACACACACACACACGCACACACGCACACTCACACACCCACGTTCGACGCGCGGGTCTGGCTGCTGCGGCTGCGAGCGTCGCGCACGGCTCCGCTTCCTCCGGGTCGTGAGCAAGCGAGGGGAGGCAGCGCTCCTTCGGAACCAGACATACTTCTCTTTCACCGTTTTGTTGTTGTTTTTCTGTTCCAGCGCAGACTTCGAACTATAGTGCGCGGCGGAAGACAATCGTAGGCCTCCTCCCTCCTCCTCGTCCTTCTCCTCCTCCTCCTCCTTCTCCTCCTCCTCCTCCTCCTCCTCGTACTCCTCCTCCTCCTCCTCCTCCTCGTACTCCTACTCCTCCTCCTCCTCTAGACGTCGTGGCGTCTGTGCACGACGCGCACGACCGAAGAGAAGACGCGGCCGGCCGCCACAGGTGTGCAGCGCTGCTGCGCCAGCGAGCGGTCGCGCTCCGCGGGCTGGCGGGCGCACGGTCGGCAGCGGCGAGCGACCGCTCCCGGGGCGGGCACCCCCCGCCCCAGCGTCAAGTCGGGCCTGTCCCCCATCTACGGGAGGAGAAGATTCAAAAAGAGCAAAACAAATCGTCAGGGGGGCGATTTCTCGAGTCCTTCTTTCTGACCCTTTGGGGCTATTTTTTTGTTGGCGTCCGAAACATCCCCCGGTGGGAGGACATGCCCGGCCTAACCCCAGGGCGCAGCGGCCTCCCCAAAAAGCGGGCTTGCCAGGCAGTGAGGTGCGGGCCGAGGCAGGAGCCGAGAGGCCGCAGAACGCCAGCGCCGGGGGAAGGGGGGAGGTGTGCGGGGTGCTGGTCAGAGGCGACGAGGGGGGCGAATGGCCCAGGAGAGAGCAATACAGGGATACAGGGGCGCCGATGATTGCATGATGTCTTCGACAAGGCTCCCGGGCGAATGCGTGTAATGCCCGCCCCTGGGCCATTCGCGCATACCGTCGCCGCCGAGGCGCGGGGTGCTCCTTCGGGGGTGTTACGCGGCCCTGCTCTGCGCAGCTGCTCTCCACGACTCGGCTGGCCCACAGCTGGACGGCGGGCCGCCCCGTGCAGGCCCGGGGCCTGCTGCTTCCTCCGGGAGGCGGCGGGAGGCCTCCCCTCGCATGGAGAGGGCGGAAGGACCTAGGCGCCAGCGACCGTGCCAGAGGGCACGGTCGCCCCTAGATCGCCCCACCACCAGGCCAGTCGCACCAGGAGGCGCGGCCAGCGTGGACAGGAGGGAGCATGCGAGGGGCGTGAGCCATGTCATGTGCCACCGCATCAGCACCCTGAGGGAGTTGGCCCCCACGACGCTGGCTGGCTCACTCACGTCCAGGACGGCAAGGGCCTTCTGGGCCAGGGCGGCGGCGGCGGCGTCAAGGGAACGAAACACAGAAGCGAGCAGCGGAGAAGCAGAGCCCGCTTGCAATACAGCGACAGGCTGGTTGGCCGAGGGGTGCGATAGCGGGGCCCGTGCGCGACCAACGGCCTGGAGCCGTGGCCGCAGCCCCCACCAGCAGGTCGTCGACCTCTTGGTCGACGGACAGCCTGGATGGCCACAGGACGGCCCCTACAACCGCTGCGCAGCATGACGACCCAGTATTGACCGGCGGGGCCTGTTCTATCGACGACCACGCCACCGAGGCCGTTGATAGGGGAACAAAAAGTGACATAAACCTAAAAACTCGGAGGTCCGCGCGGATTTCTTGGATCCGCGCTGGACCCCCCTCCCTGGCGCGCGGAGCGCGCCAGGGGCGGCGCCGGAGGCGCCGCCAGGGGGCCCCAGCGCCGATCCGAGAAATCCGCGCGGACCTCCGAGGTTTTATGTCTCTGCCACTTTTTGTTCCCCTAGTTGATAGGGTTGGAACTCTGGTTGGTGACCCGTGACGGCTGCTCCGACGCGAACGGGTGGTCGGGGCGGTTGGTGGTTGGCCATGTGGCGGCCCGTGAGGCTGCACAATGGTGGTTCAGTGCGGCGGCAGCGTGGCGGGGCGGGGCGGGGCCGCGAAGACCGGCGCCGAGGGGTGCGGCCCCAGGGGTGCAGGACGGTCGGTCCGGCGCTGTGGGAGGGCGGATGGCGCCATCGTCGTCTTGCTCGTCAGTGGCTCCCTCGGCCTCCACGCGGCCCAGGACTGGCGTCCCAGCCAGCGGTCATGTCTTTGGCTGCGGCCGTGGCTGCCGTGTGCGCGTGGGCACTCGATGCTGGGCGTGCGGGGGGGGGGGGGGCAGGCAAGGTAACTACGCGAAAACGAAGGGTTCGCGTGTTGGCGGGACCCCGGGAGACCCACGCAGGAGGCCCGACACCACGCGGGAGGCCTCGAGAGACCCCGACACCACGCCGGAGATCCCGACACCACGCAGGAGGCCTTGACACCACGCGGGAGGCGGGAAGCCCCAACACCTCGCGGAAGGCCCCGACACCACGCCGCCCGACACCCCGACACCGCGCGGGAACCCCCGGGGAGACCCCGACACCACGCGGGGGACCCCGTCGGGAACGTCGCGGGGGCATTGAGAGCGTCGGGAGAGTTGGGAGCGTCGGGAGCGTCAGGGGCGTCAGGGGCGTCAGGAGTGTCAGGGGCGTCAGGGGCGTCAAGAGCGTCAAGAGCGCCGGGGGCGTGGGGAACATTGGGAGCGTCAGGAGCGTCGGGAGCGTCGTCAGGAACGCCGGCAGCGCCAGGAGCGTCGGGGCCAGGAGCGTCAGGGGCGTCAGGGACGTCGGGGGCGTCAGGAGCGTCAGGAGCGTCAGGCGCGTCAGGGGCGTCGGGGGCGCCCGGAGCGTCAGGGGCCCCGACACCCACGCGGGAGGCCCCGCACGCGGGAGGCCCCGCGCGGGAACCCGGGGGGGACCCCGAGACCACGCGGGAGACCCCGCCCCGCGGGAGGCCCCGACACCACGCGGGTGGCCCCCGGGGATTCCAGCACCCCGCCGCGGGGGTCCCCGACACCACGCGCGAGGCCCCGACACCACGCGGGAGTTCCGGGAGCTTCAGAAGCTCCAGGAGGTCCAGGAGCTTCAGGAAGCTTCGGAAGCTTCAGGAGCTTCCGGAGCTCCAGGAGCTTTCAGAAGCGTCAGGAGCTTCAGGAGTCTCGACAGCGTCAGGAGCTCGCGTGGTGTCAGGGGCCCAGCAGGCCCTGACACCACACGGGAAGCCCAGCCAACACGTGGGAGGCTCCGACATTACGCCGCCCGGAAATCCCGACCGCGCCAGACACACCGGGAAGACCCCACCACGTGGGAGGCCCCGACACCACGCGGGAGGCCCTGTCGGGGGCGTCGGCAGCGTCGGGGCGTTGGGAGCGTTGGGAGCGTCAGGAGCGTCAGGAGCGCCAGGAGCGTCAGGAGCGTCAGGAGCGTCAGGAGCGTCAGGAGCGTCAGGATCGTCAGGAGCGTCGGGGAGCTTCAGGGGCTGAAGGAGCGTCAGGAGCGTCGGGAGCGCCAGGAGCGTCAGAGGCCCCGACACCACGCGGGAGACCGACACCACGGTGAAGCGGAGGGCTCGCGTGGCGTCGGGGCCCGAGGCCCGCGGCAGGCCCTGATCACCTTGCGGAAGGCCCCCGGAGACCCCGGCACCCACGCGGGCTGATTCCGATGCTTTTACGCGGGAGGACTTACGCGGGAACCCCTTGGGGAGACCCCGACGCCACGCGGGAGATCCCGACGCCACGCGGGAGGCCCCGACACCACGCAGGAGGCCCCGACACCACGCGGGTGGCCCCGGGAGACTCCGACACCCCGCGGGAGGCCTTGACACCATGCGGGAGCTTCAGGAGCTTCAGGAGCGGAGGGTCGGTAGATTCATTGGTGCGCGCTGCCACCCGTGCGGCACTTTCGTCAGAGCCGGCTCCTTTTTCCTCTCCTCGCCGCCCCCTGCTCCAAGACATCCTGACGAGTTGGGGCATTGATCTTGGTGGCCCACCCAAGTGTTGTGTGAAACACCCATATGAGTGAGCCTCTCGGTCCACACAGGCAACGCGCGCAGAACTGAAGATTCAGAATCCCCGCGCTCGCTCGTTGCTGCTGACCCTCTGTCTAGACCTCCCCCTCATCCCGCTCTCAGCGTAATTAGGCAGTAAGCACCCAGAGCTTCCCGAAGGAACAGTAGGACCTCACCCTCATCGCATGGTTCATGTCGACCCGAGCGATCCGATTCGATATCGGACAATCCGATTTGGCACGATGCTTGCACAGCGATGTGCATCTTGGCGCTCCCGGTTCGATCCGATTCCGACTCCGTCCCGATGTCGCCAGGTCTGCCGACGCGCGTTCCGATCCGACCTGATTTCCCGTTTCGATGGTGCTTGATCTCGCCTCATCCTCATCCTTATGGTTCCTTCTTCCCTATCTTCAGCCTGCCCACATTTCTGGCCCTCAGGAAGTCGTCGCCTCCTCGTCCTCGTCCTCATCCTCGAGGTCCTCGTGACCACCCTCGGCTCCATCGACTGTGTGGGTCGAGAAACCGAGAAGTGTGACGATCAGTTTTTTGTTTCACTCAGGCTAAGGCTTTTCTGATCGGTTTTGATTAGCTTTCTTATCGGCTTTTGATTGGTCAGTTGGTTTCTGAGCAGCTTTCTGACTGGCTGACTGGACTGCTGGACGAAATGTCTGCTGTCTAAGGCTTTCCTTTTCGGTTTTTGAACAGCTGGTGGGTGTGCGGCCTGCCCTGGCCGGCGTTGCCTGGGCCTCCCCGGGTTTCTTCAAAGTTGTTCCCTTTCGGCTTTTGGAGCGTCTTTGTTGCTTGGGGCATAATGGGCATTATAGCCCCAGGCCCCCCCTCCCCCCCCCTATAACGTAACGCCCCTCCCACCCGCCAGCGCGCTCCGGGCACTGCCGCCGTGCGCACGGCGGGGGGGATGCGTTACACTACCCCCCCCCGGGCCCCTCCCCCCCCCCATAATGCCCATTATCGCCGAGAAGAAATGTATCGCTTTCCCCGGGTTTCTTGGTCCTGTTGCTTTCCTCTTTTTGAAGAGGCGTTCTCTGGGTTGCCAAGCAATGCCACGGCATGACCAGCAATGTCGAGCAACGCCAAGCAATGCCAAGCAATGCCACGCAATGCCAAACAATGCAAAGAAATCACAAGTGGTGCCAGGCAGTGCAAAGTAATGCCAAGCAATGCCAAGTAAGCAATGCCAGGTAATGGCAGACAACGCAACGCAATGCCAAACATTGCAGTGCAATGCAAAGTCAAGCAATGCCAAGCATCGCAAAGCAAACCAAACCAAAACAACCAATGCAAAGCAATGCCAAGCAATGCGAAGTAATACCGAGCAGTACCACGCAATGCTAAGCAATGCCAAGCAATGTCCGTCGCCATTTTGGCTCAAGGCCATTTTGGCTCAAGGGTGCGTCAGGCGGCATCCCCATCATTTGACCAGTCGCCGCAGCTTTCCATTGTTGCGTAGCCTCCATGGGCAAGAAGAAGTTCTTTAGTCAAACCGAGCTGACGATCGGCCTTAATGGCGATGAGGACACCGTAGCCGGCATGGTCTTGGCAGGCATCGGTCACGTGGATGGCCAGGACAAGAATAATTCCTCGTGGTGGACCCACCTGACAGACATTGACGCGAAGTTCCAGGAGCTACGCGGCTGCGCGGACGGACATCACAACGATCCACTTCACCGAGGCTTGCGCAGAGCAGATCTGCCACGCTCTCGACGAGTACAGCAAGAGCGGGCAGGTCACGTCCCTGCGACTCGGGAGATCCCTTGCAGGGACCGGCCGCGCGCCCCGAGGCAAGATGCAGCGCTGCATCGCGTGGCGCTCTTCCGGCCAGCCGCCGTGGCGGACATGGGCACCGAGGCGCGAGCGCGCTGCAGCCCCTGGCTGCAGGCTGCCTCCCTGCGGTTGGCTCGCTTCGCCCGTGCCCTCGGCTCGCCGACCGCCGCTGGGGCGCGCGCCCGGCCGTCCAAGCCGCAGCAGCCGCAGCGGCGGGTGCCGCTCTCGGGTCCGCGGTCGTCACCGGCGCCCTGCGCGACCGCTCCATCGGCTCGTCCTGCTTCGCGCGATGGCGAGATCGGCCCTGGGGCGCCGCGCACAGGAGTGCCCGGCGACGTGCCCGACATCTTCCAACACGGGGCAGCCAGATTGAGGACCGCCCGATGCAGACGAACATGATGGAGGACGTGCACTTCGCCCCCCCCCCCCAGGGAGCCGCGAGGTCTAGGCTGGGTCTGCGTGGACCTCCACTCCGCTGGATCTCCCAGGAGCCCACGAGATGGGCGACAGTTGCGCGGTTCGCAGTCCCGCAGGGCCCGCGAGGTCTCGGCTGGGTCTGCGTGGACCTCCACTCCGCTGGACCTACCAGGAGCCCACGGAAAGGGCGACCGCGCAACCCCGCAGGGAGCCGCAAGGTCTCTGCAGATCTGCGTGGACCTCCAACTCCGCTGGACCTCCCAGGAGCCCACGAAAATGGCGACAGGTGCGCGGTTCGCAACCCCGCAGGGAGCCGCGAGGTCTCGGCAGATCTGCGTGGATTTCCCGCCGCGCTGGCGGCCTGCGTAAGCCGCCGCGCAAGGTCACTATGACATCTCGCGCAAGGCCAGTTAATTCTCTCGTCGCTCCGGTGATGAAGAAAAATCTCAGGAGCAGAAGGCCTCGAGGGCCTTATTGCGGAGATGGTGCGCAACCTGCCGGCCGGGTGCAAGCAGGACGAGCTGGTGCGCGCACTCAATTGTTCCGCCTTCGATTCAATCGTTGATTTCTTGGACGAGAAGTCGCCTTTCCAGCACCACCACAGCGTTAGGGTGGTTGCTGTCATCACCTCTCTCGAGGGCATGTGCGATTTTTGTCACATGCCATGCGACTTCGCTTCCGGCAACAGCAAGGGGCTCGGCGAGGAGAACAACTTCCTGAGCAGCCATTTCCTGCACAGTTTCAGGCGACAGAGAAGTTGTTATATCTTGTGATGGGTTTGCCCGTGTCTTTCCGGATCATGATACTCCCGGCCGGGGATTTACAGAGGCGTCGTCGAGGTCTACATTAGTAGATTTCTGTGGCCCCACCATCCTTGACCTGGATGACCCACACTTCATCGGGGCGTCCCGTCAATCGAACCATGTCGGGGAGATGTCTGCTTTTGTTGTTTGCTTTATCTTGGGTGCGCGATCCTTTTCGCCACCATCGTCATCATCTACACCATGCGCCTTCGTCATCTTCTTCTCCACCAGAGATTATTCAGGCCACTATTGGGTATGATTCCGAGTATGCTGCTGGAGTGGTTCAACGGCTTACACGCGTTCGGCTGAATCTCGGGTTGGTCTTAAGGTTTCGCCATATTTATATTGAAGTGGATCACTATGTTATTTGGCGGAAGGTGGAGTCCCATACCAGCCAATATCTCAGTGAGGGTGCAGATAATTTGGCAAACTGTTCAGCTGGCGGCACTGTATGTTGTCCTGCCGACGTGCGTCGGTGGGCCAGGCCTTGGGGCCGATCTGTGCTCTAAGTGGACAAGTAGCCTTTTCCATGTCATATCTCGCGTTGGTGAGCTTCTAAGCGGCGACCGTCGCGTCGAACTTCAAGAACGTGCGGCACGGGAACCAGTGGTTCCCAGACTGTCCAGACAGCCGCGCTTTGGAGGTAACTGCCGCGCGCGTCCAGGGGTATGAGGCCAGCGTCGCGATGGCACTGAAACCCCGCAGGAGCGTCCGGAACCGAAACTTCCGCTGAGTCGTCTTCGCCAGTCGGGACCGTGAGCGTTTCACGGACGGCAGGGCACCGACCCCCCTCTGCACCGCCAGCCGCTCCGCCCCCAACAGCACCTCCGCAGCTCGGTGGCGGGGAGGAGGCCGCCGGGCACGTCTTGCTCGGCGCGCACGGTGGCCGCTTGTGCGTCGCAGCAGCTGGTCCGCCCGTGCTGCGAGGCCATGCGCGGTGGAGCCCGCGGGGGCCAGCGCAGCGACTGCCAAGGGTTCTCCCGCGGCGACGGGGCGCTCGCGCTGCGATCTGTGCGCAAGGGAGGAGGGAGGAGGAGAGCGCGAGGGCAAGCGGGGGGGGAATGATGGCACACCGGTCGCACGCGGCAGTCGCACTCGAGCTTCGAGCGAAAGGCTGGCGTTCTCTCGATAGGAGCGCGCTGATGGGGGCATCGGACCAGCGCGGCGCTCATGTGTGTTGTAGTTCTTGTTTGCCGCAGGATGCGTTGTGGTCTTATGTAGGGCCGACGGTACCTTCCTGCACCTCGTCTCGCGAGTCAGTTGCCCTTTTTAAATGGGGTCAGCAGCAACAGCGCTTCTGCAGCCCCGGCGGCGGGGCCCTCTGAGCTAGAATGACTTAGCAACGCAAGGTTGAACTGCGTGTTTCGGCTAGGTGGGCACAGGCGCCAGAATCCAGAGGCCACGGCCTCACCCACCTGGTCTGAGCTAGGGCCAGACACTTGTCCGCAGCTGTGGTCTTTCGTCGTTCGTTCGTGGGCAGCTAGGGTACATGGGGCTCACACCGCACATGTCGTGCGAAGGTGTTCCCGTCCCCGTCTTCCATTTGGCGACCTAGTGGCGGAACCGCGGGACTGCTCGAGCAAGAGTGATGCAGCGGTGCAGACATTGTTTTTTTGTTCCTTCTCGACTCAGCAGGGAAACCATTTTTTTTGCGGCTCACGCAGCACATGGCATTTCGAATGGCACAGCTCGTGAGTTGGTGCCGTGTTTTGTTTATGTGACTTGGCGGCGGTGTGCCGCGCCCGCATCTGCCAGTTTTTCCAGGTTCCAGGAGTTGCCCTTGATTGTGGCGTTCCACGTGCCCGGGTTCGTCACACATCGTGTCTTCCGTGTTTCGTGGCTAATATCTTTAGATGGCACATGCTATCTTCGTAAGTTTGTTGCTCATTGGAGCCGTCGCCTTCGGGCTGAATCTGCGCAGTAAAGTTGTCCTCGTCATGGGGCTGTGGTGGTAGCAGACGCGGTTTGCGTCGGCTGACTCCACCGCCGCGTAGTTGGAGCCATCAGCCTCGGGGGCGGGAGGCGGGGGGAGAAGGACAGAATTCAGGAGTCCCCGCAAGAGTCTCCCAAAACGCAAGACGGCTCAAGAGTGCCACGAGCGCAGAAACGAGGGATGAAGGAACGAAGGAAGGGAGGAGGAGGAGGAGGAGGAGGAGGAGGAGCAGGAGGAGGAGGAGGAGGGGGAGGAGGAGGAGTGTGTGTGTGTGGGGGGGTTCTGCGTGGCTGCGAGAAGGCTTCCGCGACGGCACGCCTCCCAAGGAGCGGGGAGGAACGAGGAGGGATGGAGGAACGACGCGCAGAGGCAGCGGAATGGAGAGGAAAGCGAGACGACCGAGAGCGGGGAGGGAAGAGCCAGGGGGGACAGAGCGAGGATGGGGACAGGGCCATGAAGGGGCGAGCAGACGAGAGGCCCCCCACTTCAGGCGATCGCAAGCATGGATTAAGGGGGCATGGATTAGCGACAGGTCCCGCTCCCATGGGAGATCGCGGAGTTCCGCCGCCGAACCGAGGCGGCACCTGCCGCATTTTGGGGAGGGCACCTCCCCCGATCCATGGATTTGGCGACCGCGCGCCAACTCCATGGATCGCGAATCCATGCTTGCGCGCCCCCGATATTGGGGGAGTTGTTCCCCGACCGTGAAGGCCGTGCGGCCGGCGCCGCCGATCCAGCAGGACGACCGCGACGACGGCCACGACGACGACCACGACGGCAGCGACGACGACGAGCTAAGGACCCTGCCACAGGCTCGGGACACGGGGCGGGCGGCGGAGGAGGGAGGGGGAGGAGGAGGAGGAGGAGGGGGAGGAGGAGGAGGAGGAGGAGGAGGAGGAGGAGGAGGAGGAGGACAAGGAGGAGGACGAAGACGAGGACCAGTGCAAAGCCAAGGCTCATCAACGAGGTTGGAATACACCCTCCCTCCGAGCTCCCTCTACAGAGGCCCCATATAAGGGCTCATTTCCACTGAGGGAATTGCCTCGTTGGGAGACAACCGCTTGAAGCCCCCGAAGCGTGCCAGAAGACCATTTTCAGAACTCCAACGCCACGAATCAACCTGATTGTTGCGTCTTGACGATCCTGAATCGTGCCAGAACATTCCTGGGACTTCAACACCGCGAATCAACGTAACCGCTGCGCCCTCACAACCCGCAGCCCTTTCAAACACGATTTCTGTTACGGTGACCATGGGAATCCGTGAAACTTTTAATGCTTTTAAGACGAGTGTGCGCGGCGATAACACGAGAGCCGCATTTTGACAAAGAGCCGCCCTCAACCCGTGAATCTCTTGCACATGTGAGCCACATGTTGAAAACGACCCGCCCTCAATCCGTGAAGCTCTTGCGTTGCGTTCAAACCGATGTGCGGGGCACTAAGGCGAGAACCATATTTGGAAAACCACCCGCCCTCAATCCTTTTAGCCCTTTGTAATTGATTAATACGATTGCGTGCGGTGCTAAGGCGAGAGCCACGCATAGAGAAGGGGCCACCATCAATCCATGAAACTCTTGTCACTTGTAAGAACGAGTGCGCGCGGCGCAAAGGCGAGAGCCACATGTTGAAAGCGACCCGCCTTCCATCTGCGAAGCTCTTGCCAATGTCCAAGCTTCAGGGTCATAAGTGGTGCGGAAGTCTCAGGCGAAACGCCGGCCCGCCCTCTCGACGAGCCTCGGGGTGCGACAGGGAGGTTTATATATGATGGCAAGGAATGGAGGAGGGGAGGAGGAGGCGGAGGAGGGGGAGGAGGAGGAGGAGGAGGAGAAGGAGGAGCAGGAGGAGGAGGAGGAGCAGGACAAAGAGGAGGAGGAGGGGAGGAGTTTCATGGGCCTGAGGCAGGCCCTCCCCGATGCCATTTTCTGGACCGACTCCAATTTTGTTTTCCAGGTCGTCTGGCATCGTGGGCGGCAGTTTTGTTGCTCGTCTAAAGCTGCGTGGGCTGATATCAGGAAGCTCGTCTGGCATGCCATCGACGACAGAGGTGGTCTCGAGGCGCTGCGGCTTCACAAGGTTAAGGCGCACG